TTCACATTTGGTACAAATATTTCTAACAGTATCAGAACTTCTACAGCTGTAGAAGACTTATTTATGCAGTATCAATCAACATATTAGGGCTGTTAATGCCAGATGATCTGCTGGTATCCCTGCTGGTTTGAATAACCCCTGCCATTTTCTCAAGATTTTGAATAAGATCAGTCTTTTGCTCAGATCTATTTGTCTAAAATATTTCTTAGCCCTAATCCTGAAGAAACTTATGGTGGTCTCATTTCATTTTTCTCTCAGGTATGTTCTATTTTAAATCATGAACGTATTTCTGTTATACCTGAGAATGCTAGTGTCATGTTAAATGGTTCAGTGCTTGAATCCTTATTTTTCTCCTTCTCCTGATATTTGCATTGTTGCTGATGATTTTAAAAACTAGCAAAATATTAACAGACTTTGTATTCTACTTATCACATTACCCTCAGATGATCTTCCTCAAGTTATTTTTCTTTCTCTGTATGCTGTGGTTTGTCTTGTTCTCAGAAGTTCTTCTGTACAGTTACTAGCTATTAGCTATTCTCATTCTCCTGACTCCTATTCAGAAGAATGTAGTTAGTTTACATTCTTTATTAACTGTAGGTCTCTCTGTTGTAGTTTCTGTTAGCATATGGTTCTTGTGCTTTTTTGACACTTCTTTGATTTCTCCTTTGGATCCTTACCTGGATATGCAACAGTTCTTATTGAGTCCTCTTGGTGGTGCCTGTTTGGTAAGCTTATACCTGGTTTCTTCTACTTCTTTGATTGGCATCTGGACCACTTCTTCCCCTACTCACTATTCCCTCGCTATTGCTTCAACGTCACATGTCATTTTTTCATTCAGGGATATCATCCCTTCATAGCCTTCTTATTCCATTACTGTTGTCCTTTGACTTTGCCTATCAACAGAAGTGGTGAGTTTTCACTGTTGGTCCATCTGCTGCTCTGTTACTCCCAGCCTTCCTACTGTGACACACCTTTTTGCCTTTTTCATTTGGTTGTTAGACCATGCTTTGTTGGTCTTCACTTCTTTCATCTTTCCCATTAACATAGGTTGTTTTCTTTCCCTGTTCTCTCCACTCTATTCTGATCCTTTCTTCTTCACTGATTCCTATGCCTGATTGGGAACTTTATGTGGTTTGCCCTGTTTGAGCCATTGGCTTCTTGCTCTCTATATCACCTTTCTTCAAGACTTACTTCATTCTCCTTCTCACCTGTAATCACTGTTGTTCATGGATCTAGGTTCTTGATGCTTCTTGCACTCTATTCCATTGCACTTATTTATTCCTCTACCTAGTTTGGTCTTTTCTTAAGACTTCAGCCACCCAAGAGGGTGACCATTCTTTCTCTCCTATCTTTTTTCTTCTATCTCCCACCATCATCTGTTTCTACCAAAGGACACCTCCTCATCCAGGGGAACAGAAAGTGATCAACAGATTCACCTTGACTCTACCGGTGCCTGCTGTTGAGATGGGGTGTTCTGCAAGACCACTAGAGATATCCTCATGGTATACAAAATTACTCAATTCCCAACACACATTTTCTTCCCCCCCCCCCCCCCTGAAGTGGAGCACAGGAGACCCTTGCCACTTACCAGTTCTTAGCCATTGGAGAGTAGAATTGCTTTCTGACTGGGCTTAGCACAATACAGTCAGAAGTAAGGCAGTGGTGACACTGTCAGTGTGGTGTAAGTCACCCCTCAAATAGCTGGTGTGCCTTCCTCTTGCAGCCTGAGTCTGCCCATTTGAGTCTAAGTTAGCACACCCCATACAGTCTGATTGTGCCCTAACTATGTTTCACTTACTGGCCATTTTTGTGTAAGTGCTCAGATAGTTATGTTCTTATTTTGACCATTTTTGTGACACTTGGAGTTTGTTTGCCTATACCCCATTTATACTCTGGGCAAAGGTAAAATCCTGGTCAAGATGAGATGCTGTCTTCTATTAGTGTACTCCTGTGAAGCCCCTGCCATCAGGTGTAAAGCTCCATGTGCTTTGTCTTCAGGCATTTTCTGAAGGAAGGTTATCTAGGTTTAAATCACTGGCTCCTCCACCAATTCATCATGAGATTCTAGCTGTTCTGTGTGAAGAAGTGAAGTATCATCTAGAAGTTAACATTGTCTTTATCTAGAAATGTATTTCTTACAGATACTCACCTCCTCACACATTCCCACCTGACCCCCACCTTCAGGTACACTTTCATCTTGCCTTGTCTAAGAATGAAATTATTGTGAGTGCAAATGCTTAAGGGGAGTTACTGCATGTGGAGGTTGTGTTGACCTCCTGTTGGTGGAGTGCTATTGTTTGCATGAGGATGTCAATTCACATTAAACATTTTAGGTGTGAGTTAGCTCAAGGCTAGTGGTATGCAAATCTCATTGGCAGAAACATGGGGGATATAGCTATTTATGAAAGTTTTGAAGCAATTGTGCAGAGAAGGATAAAAAGATGTAATATTGGATGCCAGTTCAGATTACAAAATTGTTGCAAGAAATTGGAACATGAAACTAATAACTGCACCATATAGGTTTTCACAACACAAATATTTTGCTGAGCAAATGGCCATAACTGTAAAGAGCCTGATAAAGAAAAAAAAGACAGAAGAAGGTGAATGACATCCATATATAGCCTTTCTAAAATGCCTCCCAGTGGCACAGCGGTATGTCTGCAGACTTGTAATGCTAGGATCCGGGTTTTGATACCTGTGGTGGGCAGAGCACAGATAGCCAATTGTGTAGTTTTGTGGTTAATTACAAACAAACAAACCTTTCTAAAATATGGAAATAAACACTCATCAATGCAGACCTTATATCTTGTACTTATTAAGAAGCATTTATTCATCTCAAAAAAAGCCTTCTACCAGGAGTACATCCTGTCATGCAAATAGCTCTTAAGAATAAATATACAGACATGAGATTCTTCCACAAATAGATGTATTTTTATCATTTTCACTATCTAATTGTTAATTTGCCCAAAGTGGCACAGCAAATCTCTAGTGTTATGATGTTAAAAACTGGTTTTGATATCAATGGTGGTTGGAACACAGATAATCCATCGTGTAGTTTTGTGCTTAATAACAACCAAACCAATACGAAATTGATGACTTGTGACATCAGTATTAATCCATTTTGTGAAAGATAGGGAGGTTGTAGGGAACTGCCTACAATTCTGGCAATATACAGCCCTGCAGTGTTTGCTAATACAATATGAACATGATGCATGGATATTCTAATTTGATATAAACTGTAAATTCTAATAGCTAATAAGTATATAGTGTGGTTAGCAAGGAGTACTTATCAGTATGGACACTGTTTGCAGCTCACGAATAATTACATATAAAATCACTAAAAATAATTAATGAAAAAAACTGTATTGATCCTGAATGAAAAAGACAACGAGGTTGTGGTCCCGGTTCAAGTTGACAAGAAGTAGCTACTGTCAATTCATTAAGATTGTACCCATCTCTCTGCAGAGTAGTACTTGTATTGATGAGCTGTTTTCATATCCCACATGTTGAAGGTACCTTTGATACCATAAGCAATATCATGGATTATTAATAAGGCCATTTGAACGTGGCCTCTTTTTCTGTTATACCATCTGTAGAGTAAGGTTTGAAGGCATCAGGTAAAGGAGATTTTGAGTATTTTGAGAGAGAGGACACTCTGCATTATATAATACTTACCATAACATCAGAGCTTCCAGGAAATGTTTAAATAAGGAAGATAAAGTGGAGAAAAGAAGGGAAAGGCTGGCTGTGAAAGTCCAAACTTGTTATTGAACAGAAGGCCAAGGAAACTATACAGCTAATGGAGAAACAAGAAAGACTTACCCACAACGTAAATTGCAAGAGCTGGGCAAGGGTAGAAAAATATAAGAAATTTAACACAACTGACTGTGTGAAATGTAAACTATTATTAAATATGAAAGATTCATATTGAAATATTCTCTGTAAGTACTTACAAGTGTCATTTTATTATGTACTGAATGAGTAGAATAAAGTGTTTGTTTCTGGAGTCTTCCATTTTAAAAAAGAATTATAAACATCCCTTTTGAGTATCTCTTTCATCACATTAATATCAATAAACAAAAACATTTTCGCAGAACTAAATGTAAGTCAGCTGAAGTACATCTTGTGTTTATAACACATAATTATTTAACATTTTATGCTGACCTCTTTCAATAATGATAATTCCTTGGCACCTCAGGTTTAATTTCCTCTCTTTCTTTTGTGACCAGCTTGTTTCATACAAGTGGTAAAACAGAATGGCATGAAAGCTTTCTAATCAGAACCACAATTATGGGATAGTTTTTCAGATAAATAAAAACCTCTAAGATTTGTATTGGAAATGTAGAATCTTCCAACAAACAAACTAAGATTATACATTGTGGAAGATTAGAAAGGCCACCTGTTTTAAAGAAATCAAAAGAAAACTGATAAGAGGATACTCGGACAAAGCCTTTAAAACTTATTTGAAGTTCAACTATCCGATGTTGTAATAAAGTCTCGGGAGGATTATAGTAATGAATTCAACCTATCCAATAACAAATATACATATGAAACTGTAGACAGCTAAAAATATCAGCAAGAAATTAACTCGGCACAAAACAATCGAATGATAGCTTTGGGTACATTTTGTATTTTTTTAGATATTTTCTTTGTATCAAACAAAGGTGTTTACCAATAAATGCTTCAACTGGACATGTCAACAAAGAGGAATGTTACATTTCATATAAAAGTGAAAATAACTAAGGTATACCATCTATAGTTAAATAACTGTTGATTAGGTTCTATGTTGAAAGAAGTAAAAGTGTCTTGCTTTACTTTTAACGGGTGTGTATTGTGTACCCATGAAACCTCTATTCATAACATTTGATCATACTGGTAAAATATGATGCAATATGTGGACCCCATTAGTAGTGAATGGTATGTAAAAAAAAATGTAAGAGACACTTGGTCAGGGGTTAAAAATACAAAGACACTTAACTGATACCTGATTCTGTTTCTAGACTCTGTGAAAAGTTTTGAGAATTCTCCTAGTCTGAAATCAACCAGCATCAATGACGATACTTCTGTGGGTTCAGAGCGACCATTTCAATGTGAACTTTGCAGTGCATCATTCAGCCGAATGGGAAATTATACACGCCACAAGAAGATTCACGCTGTCCCTACTAAGGTTAATGAGCTTCAGCTATTTACATTTGATATATATTAATATAGAAACAGTAGATTTTCTTCTGAAAGAAACCACATTTTATCTACTTTTGAAGCAAAAGATTTTGGAATATTAGGCTTAAGATACACGATTTGTTTAATTAAAATGTTTGATTTATCCAAATGCTCTTTGGGACATGTTAGATTGTATACCAGGTAGTGTCTCATAGCAAGTATGGTATTAGACATAAAATTTGATTTGCTCAAAGTCATTTTTAGTTATTTTTCCAATTTTTTTTTAAGCCATTGTAAGTACAAAAATATCAATTACCTTGTTTTTATTGATATAAATTTTAACTTAAAGACGTATAGTAAATGTGAGACTAGGTATGAACATAGTGAAAATTAAGTAAATATCGAACATGTATTGCATTATACTGCTGTTAAGTTTCATTCCGTTTATATAGAGAAAATGAACAGTTTTCTCTCTTGACTGAAGCTTGAAGAGATTTTAGATTCTGGCTTTATATTTAATAAAGGATACAAAAGATGTTAGCTTATTGCAGAAATCTACAGTCAAAAAGTGATGTCAGTATGTTTTAATAATTTTGTCTGTAAGTAACCTTAAAAATTTATTATGTAGTTACTTGTACATAGGTTGAATACATTTTATTGAAATGATTTTGGAGCCTCACTACATCTTTAACGTCTATCCTTTCATGCTTCATCTGCCTATCGGATGACTGTGCCTTTTTAACATTACCCTATAGTGCACTTGCAAAAAGCTCTGTCATAAGGCTGTTGTGTTCAAAGCATTTCACTCCTTGTTTGCTTTTCATAATCTGTCAAGTGTACAAAGACAAGTTGCAAAGAAATCTAAAAGGCTGTGTTTAGTGATTTGAAATGTCATGTTTTTGTGTGGAATACCCCTTTCATTCTCCACATGATTAAGATATATGACAGTTGAATAGAAGGTATGACTGGATGCTTTATCATGGTGAACCCATACCTTCTTGGCCTCATTTTTTTATACAAAACTTGTATTTCTGCCTAGTATGAAGAGTCCAGAAAATTGATTTTATTGATAATCGGAGTTCATCTTTGCTTCCACTCTCCTGATCCTTAATTTGCTCATGGTGCAGTGTTCTGTGATGATCATGGATCCCCTTCCAAGAAGTGTAGTGACATGTTTTGTACCCCTTTGGAATTGTTTTTCACCCATTTACTAATTTAAAATAGCATAAGACTTTTTACAGGCATCAAGTATGCTTTGTCGAGTGTCACCAGGTACTGCCATTTATTCTTTGGGTATGTATCATTCATACAGTTTTGTACAGTTGGTCTTCCTTTCATTAACTTCTGTACATGTGAGTTGTTTCACTTTTCCAGGTAGAGATTCTTCTTAAATATATTGTCTGGGGCCTTTACGTTTGTTTATTCTGACCTATTAGAAGACGCACTTTGCTTACCATGGTTGAAGTAAAATGGTTGCAAGTCTCTTCCTGGATGGTTCTCATGTCCCAAGCTGATTCATATTTTATAATACCATAAAATAAAAACAGATATCCCCATCTTGAAAATTTTAAATCTTCAATTTGAACACATCTTTATATTATGGTCTAAATGTATGAATATTTTGCATTTGAAGGAACTATTCCATACCCTTCCAAAAAGTGATGAATTTTCAGTGACATCATTGTTACAAAATACCTAACAGTGTCAAAATGTAGTTCTGGTACATGGGGTTTCACCACTACTTTATATGAGCTGTCATTTGTCGTAGTGACTTACATATTAAACATTGTTTTAATATAATGTACTCAACCCTTTGCGTATGTGTATATAAATACATGACAAAATGTATAAGGAACACAAGAGTTATAGTAATGAGAGACATATCAACTGCAGAAAACAGTTAGATATATAACCATAAAAGTAGGTAACACTAATACTTGTTATGGAAATCAAGTTCACTGCATGTACATTTTTTTTCATATTTATCTTGCAGTTAACTTGAGTTGTGTAACAAGCTTTAAGCCTTTTTCTTTGGTTTTGATGTATTGCCATTTACTCACCATTGATAACCTAAAATACTTTAGATGTTTGGATAACCCTCACATTTATCAAATATTATTCAGTGGTCTAACTGGTTATTAACTACTAAATTTTTAGACCTATTCCAATATCTCACCAGTTTTCAGTATTTAAACCATAACTTTGAAGCATTAGTACTTAAAATTGTGGTCTCATATAATCCGTGTAAAGGTGCTACAAATTTACAACTTAAATTATGTCAGTAATCTAATAAATATTGTTTTATCTAGATGATACTTTTTTATTATTCAAAACTTTAATGTTAAAATTATAACACAGTCCGTGGGGTCCATATCGTGAGACAATGTTATAGATGAGACCGAGCTTTAATGAGGTCTTTTCAAAAGTGCCAAGTCAATTTCATTGGCTAAACCCCTTAATTATTGACACGACTGCCATCTCATTGGCTGATTATAAATGTGTGTGTGTGTTTTATTATTAAAATAACAATAAAAATGTTAGTGATAATCCAGCATTTAATAAAGAACACAGTTTTTTTAATATTAAATATCATATTTATATAAATTAATATTTTCATATAAAATGTGACCTGAAATGAGAGAGAGTTTGACAATAAAGTTTCATTTTATTGAATTGCTTGTTGGGTGGCAATGAGTATTATCTGGCAGAAGTTTCTCATTTGTTCGACACATGACAAAAAAGATTGGAAATATCTTCTAAAACTCTTGTGTGTGTTATACTGAGTTCAGATATATATCATAGTGTATAACTACGATTACTGTCTACCACTAACTTCTTTTTTCTTTAATTTAATACTAAAGTACATGATATGTCATTGAGCATGTGTGTGTGTAAATGTGAGAAGTCCAATGTCCATAAAAAATCTGATCTTTTAATAAAGTATTTTTACTGAAGATTTGTCTGTGAATTTACAAGGTCAGTCTGACTCCGGCTATGACTAGTCAATCACAATAGTTACAGAGACTGATACCAAATTTAAAGAAACACGAACAACACACATTTAACAAACAAACAAACCCAAAACATTCCACAAAACAAAGGAAACCTAATCATCAGCACATTGTACATAAAAAAGTATTTGTATACCTTTAACAGAAATTTGAAAAGTCTGTCACACAGATATATCCCTAACAAGATCCATTTTCACACCTGGAATGAAAATAATATAACAAACCCAACCCTGCCAGAAAATATTTATAAGATACAGTGTAGTAAAGTAGGTGAAATAGGACATAAAGATGTCATGAAATGGTCTTTTTTTAGTACTTATAAACATGTACCATTGACAAGTAAGAATGAGTAAATAAGTAACTGCACAGCATGAAGAGTTGGGAAGAGCATCTGTGGTGAGTGTACAAATTTATTGATGTATCAGAAAATAGATAAGGTGGTGGGTTCTAATTCTAAGTTTTGTCATGTCAATATCTGTGATTGGGGATTCAAATCAGTCTAAGGAAGAATCCAACATAAACAAACGAAAAATCAAGGAATCCATCTTAATTGAACAAAACAACCCTACTCTAAACCAATACTCCGGGGTGCCTAGATACCTCTTCTAAGTTTCACAACAGTTCCGGTCATGTGACTTCTTTGTTCAATACTGTATATATATATATCTGTGTCAGTGTAAATTACTTGTACCTGATGATGACAAAACCTTGTCGAAACGTTGTACGTTTGCTGTTATGTTAAACTTATATTAAAGTTTTTCTTCATTACCCATTCAAGCCGTCTCCAGCCATTATTAGTCTCAAAGTGGGTTTCTCGTCATCGAAACTGTATTGTAAGTCACGGAAAGTTAAAGCAATGTGATACCCGACATCATGTGATTCGTGTTATCTTAGTATAGGCGGGGCTAAAAGAGAAAGTTCCAAGAGTTTCGTCACACTAATCTTAAAGTTACAAACGGTAACATTAACCTAGAATATATATATTCTAGAGAAGGAAAATGGGTAAGTAAATTTTATGTTATCCTATGTATAATGAAGCATAAAGCGAGTTATCAAATCTTGGTTATATCGTCTACTGTACATTTCTATAGATCGTTTTATTTTTTGTTTTTTAATCTGTAACCGTGTGAACTAAAAGTTAAATTATTCAATAAAAACCTTAAAACATTTAATTTTGGGTACAGTAGGCATTACGCACAATTTTTACCTATGACCTTGTGTGAACTTAAGTTGTATTTAGTTCCATATAATAAGCATTATCGATTACTCCAAAATTTTCAAGTTTCACCAGAATAAATGTAAGCGCATACTGTTAGCTTCTTTTTTTTTTAATTAAAGATAACTAGAAAATCTGCATTGGAAAAACTATTCAGTTGTCTCTAACATGCAGTCATCCTTGTGTATAATGATAGCAGTACAGATAGTACTCCTGGCGGTCTTTACATACTGAGAAACCAAATGATTTTATCTTATTTTATTTATTAGTTCAGATGATTAACCTTAAGCCTAATTAATATATTTACCGCATTGGCCTGTTTATAAGGCGATGTTTTTTAAATTAATAATTAGGCTGTAAAATTCATAGTCGCCTTATAATCGCGTCCGACCATAGGCCCCTTCCCCTACTCTAGCCTGTCACTTTCCTGAATGTCTGGGTGGCATCCGTCTACGCATGTGCGCCAGATGTTTGCTCAAGGTCATCGCTAATTTTTGCAAATAACGTTATGGGTATTAAATACTTTTATTTAAAAACACAAAACAAGTAAGAGCGTTTCGATCTCCGTAAGTCATCATCAGGTTACAAATGAATTTCAAAAAATGACCTTTATTGATCCCATATTGGGGAGACGACAGTAACTATATGTGTAATATTGTAGGATGCGTTGTATATATTTAATCTATTATATATGGTAGTTACGTAATATTAACCAATAATTAGGATATTTATAGAGGTATTCCTTGGTGCTGGTTCAATGTGGATTTAAGTTCTTGTATCAGATCTTCTTTAGTATGTCATTTAGTTATATTGGTTTCTTTGCTTAATATGTTAGTATTTTATATGGTTATATTGTGTTTATTTGAGATACAATGATCAAAAAACATGGGAAGATGATTTTTGTGTTTATTGAATCTTGGTTCCATTTTTCACTTGTTTCTTCGATATAGAAATCATGGTAGTTGTTACATTGTATTTTATAAATGATGTTCATATTGTGTTTGTCAGAGTCGTTTTTACATAGTTTAGATTTTAGTTTGGTACCTAGTTTTTAAATGAATTTAGTGTTTACTGAAATGTTATATTTGGATATAAGTTGTTGTTTTTTCAAATGTTAGTAATTTTTTTTTGCTGGTATCTGGAATGTAAGGTATGCAGCAGTGTAGTGTTTTGTTGTTACTTGATACATTGACTTTTGGATTGTGGGTTGGCTGTCCATTGTATGTTTGGCTGTGGTTTTGAATAATTCTTTCGACAGTTTTTTTTAGGAAATTTATTCACATTGATCAAGTCTTGTTTTAGTTTCTAGGCTTCATAATTAAGGTTGTCAGGTGAGCTAAAGTTTAGTGGCTGTGTTTATTAGGTTTTCCAGTATGTTGAGGTTTTATTTTCTTTCATGTGCCGAGTTCCAGGGAATGTACTGTTGAATATGAGTGATTTTCTGGGGTTTTTGGATTAAACTGTGTATATATATTATTGTGATATGGAGGTTTAGAAATGTTAGTTGCTTATCTTTTTCGTATTCACTGGTGAACTTAATACTTGGGTGTATGAACAAGATATGTAGACAATAGATTTGCCGGATTCACTTCTATAGAACACACATGTAGCTTTTTCAACCACATTTTTAGGCTGATTGTGTGTGTTATAAAAGGGATGATTAAGTTTCTCTACTTAATTAGAGTAGCACAAGAGTTTACAAGGTGGCATATACTAGCTGCCTTCCATCTAGGCTATCAATTCAAAATCAGGGACAGCTAGCACAGACAGCCCTCGTTTAGATAACTTTGTGCAAAAGTTTGAAACAAACAAGCATTTAAATTAGTCAAGGAAAATATTAGGAAGACTGTTTTCAAACAGGGTGGAAAACAACTATACGTGGTATTTCAACTCATTCTTCAGGTTTTTGTGTTGATGTTAGTTAGGTTGATAAGATATTGCATGTTAATTAACAAATCGTTTTATTATTATCATCATACAGTCTTGCTTTTCAGCAGGCACACAATCAAATTATTGTTTCTTGCAACAAAGATAGAAGGAAAAAGGAAATGGTATTGAACCTGTTTTCATTTATTGCCTAAATTGTGACGGAAATGACGTACGAAATAAAATAATCGCATGTTTGTTCCTTTTTTATTTTAAATAAACTTATAATTTGATTGTGATTAAAAATAATACTGTTGTATCGTTGTAATATTTTATATAGGGAAAATGTATAATTTGAAATTACGGAGGAACTTATATTTTACGTACCTCCTCTAGTGGACCGTTTTATATTTCTTATACTTTATTGTTTTCTATTTTGCGACGAACAGTTACCTCCCAATAAATGGTTACTGAAGATGGATAGAAAATTCTAAATGTGGTATATCATAAGCATGGGTGTCTGCATCCACCGTTAATTTTTAATTAACTTAATTCCACGTGCAAATCTTACAAATAAAAGTGAAGTCTGCCACTATTTGAGTCCCACTTCTTCATGTGCTTTTTCCACTGTGAAACTTTTTACAACTCGTTCACTATAGTTTAAAGTCTAGATTGTTTCGTCTGGCCTACTTGTGTATGTTGGATGCTATTCCTTTTTGGCCTAATTGGCGTAATTGTTCACTTATATTCTAGTAAATTGTTTGTTTGTTTGTTTGAAGTTAAGCATAAAGCTACACAATGGCCTATCTGTGCTCTGCACACCATGGGTATCGAAACCTGGTTTCTAGCGTTGTAAGTCCGCAGACATACCACTGTGCCACTGGGGGGCTTCTTGTAAATTACATGTGTTAATTCACAATAACAAAACCGTGCAAAAAATTATGTATATATATATTGTTTTCAATAATCATTTAACTTCTTAATTTTCATGTAAGTTGGTGCAGCTAATCCTGAGAACCCTTGAAACCCCTTGATTCCCATATGGTGTGGGGAAGGGACAAAACTGAAAATTTTCCAAATTATAAAAGTAGATTCCTGTATTGAATATCAACTTACATCTCCCCGCTTTTTCAAATTTTCAAAATATAAATTTTAGATTATTGTTTAGAATGTTTTTAGATTTTCATGAATTATATTTTCTGGGGGTGAAAGAGGTCAAGAGTCTACATGCACAATGTCAAATCGTTCTGTTAGAAATTCTATAAAAAGTTCAATAATGAAGTAAACGAAAGTACGTAGGTAACATTGATAACTACGATATTATATTTTTCTTCTCAGCTTACACTGTTCAGAAGATGCCAGCATACCAGGATGTAGATGGCTTCAGATTGACTGCCATGTTCTCCCCCGATATATTTCGAGCAGCTTTGCAGTATCAACCTAGAGCAGACGACCTTTTCATCGTTACATATCCCAAGTGTGGAACTACCTGGATGCAGAACATCGTTCTTCTTATTTTGAACAAAGGAATCCCTTTGACAGATTTTCTCCAATTTCAAAAAGCAACTCCTTTCTTAGAAATGACAGGTCCCGATTCTGCAAAACACATGAAACGTCCAGGAGCCATAAAAACCCACCTACCGTTTCGCCTTCAGCCTTACTCTCCAGAGGCCAAGTATATTTATGTTGTTCGAAACCCCAAAGACTGCTGCGTTTCGTTTTATTATCATACAAAAAATTCTCCTGGTTACCACTTTCAGGATGGAACTTTCGACGACTTTTTTGAGATTTTTATCCGGGGTGAGACAGACTACGGGGATTACTTTGACCACTTGTTATCTTGGTATGAACATCGAAATGATCCTAATGTTTTGTTTATTACTTTTGAAGAAATGAAAATGGACATGCGAACTGCGGTGTTGAAGATAGCCAAGTTTCTTGGCATTGAATACGCAGAAAACTTAGAAAATGACGACGACTTGTTGAAAAGAGTTCTAGTCTACAGCAGTTTTGACTATATGAGAAAATCTCATGAACAAAGTGTGAACGAGTTTTTTCACAAAGGTCTTGATTCTATAACAAATGACCCAAACGTCCCAGAAGGACTAAAACACGTTATTAAAAGCCTAAAGAACTCCGAGCAATCATCTGGGAATATCCCAAATATAATAAGAAAGGGAATAATTGGAGACTGGAAGAATCATTTCACGGAGGAACAATCACAACGAATGGATGACATCTTTTTTGAAAAAACAAAAGGAACTGAGGTTCGAAAACTCTGGGAAGGCTTAGAAAATGAAATATAGATACTAATCATTTTAGATGAAGTAATTCAATGGTGATTGATTAAAACTGGTTAGATGATAAAATTTTAAAGATGTCTGCTTACATTGAAATATCTAAATGTATGAAAATAACAACCTTTATGTAATAGGTAGCAATACGTGTTATGACAATAAAGAGTATCACATATGCTAGCTTATAATTGGTTCTCTCAGAACAAAGCAATTCTGACGTGTTTGATATCATTTGATAAGTTTGTTTTGTTTGTTTGTTTTGAAATTAAGCACAAAGCTACACAAAGGGCTATCTGTGCTCTGCCCACCACGGTATCGAAACCCGGTTTCTAGCGTTGTAAGTCCGCAGACATACCGCTGTGCTACTGGAGGGCATATTTGATAAGTTCAGACTTTAAGCGGTAAATAGTTAAACTGTAACTAAATGTTCCATTAGGTTTTCTATCGTAATAAACTTCATTATTCTAATACGAAGTGCAACAAAATGTTCGTATTTATTATTATACAAACTACTACACAAACCTTAACCCTTTTTATGCAGTACAACTTTTGTATTCTTAAAATAGAAATGTTAGTAGTGGGTATAAATGACCTAGGATACACTAAAATGACTGGAGAGCATGCTAAATATAATTTTATGGGATATGTGGGTCCCATCAATCCTGCACAAATATACGCTGGGGCAAATATCATCCAACAGTACTGAAAGAGTTAAGGCCTCACGTAGCATTCACTTGGCAGTTTCCAGAGCAGTTTTTTTTTGATAATATCGTTGATTGGTTGCTCTAAGATCACTTTGTTATTTTGATTCAGTTGTTTACTAAAAGGTTAGATTTTTAGACCTTTCTAGTCTATTTTCATGCAGCATTTTTACTATATTCGAAAAGTAGAAAAAGACCTTACAGCATATCATAATAATTAAATACTTTTTTCAATAGTAGAGCTCTGGATTTCTGTGGTACGTCGGGTTAGAATCCGTGCGATACTACAAAATATTCCCCATATTTTAAGCTGTATGTGCGTTATGAGAGTTACAGTCAATACCTGTGCATGGATGGTGGGCGGTATGGAGTTCCTGACTGGCTGCCTTTCCCTTTATGAGATAGTTCAAAAATTAGGGACGGCGGCAAATAACCTTAGGAACTTTGCCATAGAAAATACAAACTTTTTTTATTCCCCAGATCACATTTACTTACCCGAGTAGATATTTTCACTGATAAGATACAGCGTTTTAGCATATCTGGGAATAAATTTTGTGCTCACAAAAAGAACAAAGTGAAAATGCTTAGTAACTGTATCTAATGTTGTTCAGGTATATTTGTCACGCGATAATTTGTTTCGCGAAAGTGTAATTCCTAAGTTTAACTAGATAGTTCGACTTCTGACGTAATGAATTAATTAAGAAATACCCAAAAGTTTTTGTATACATCACAAGGAACATGGCTTTGGTGTACATTAAAACAATGAGAATTAATATAAGTGTTGACGAGTTGGGGTTTCTATAAATTAGGAATCTCGTAATATTTAACACCACGCAGGATCAACAAAATAAAGTTAGAATCAGAAAAGGTTCCCAATAACCCGAACACTTTAGGAAACTGGACTTTCTTTCATCAGGGGTAAGTGGTAAAAGTAAAGACAGATAATTGTGATCCGATAACTCGATCGTATTTGAAAGGTATACCTCTCTCTCTCTTCTGGGTGAAGCTGGGAGGAATAAGAAGGTGTTAAAATACTTATCATAATTATTTATGTGAAATTAATTTTCAATATATGATTTTATGTTGGTGAGACACAACTCTAAAAGTCGGGTTTCGATACCAGTTGTGGGAAGCGCAATCCTGCTCAATCCCAGATCACCTCTGAATAAATATTTACATCGAAAGCGGGAGGTAGAATACTAACTCTTACATCATAACATAAAGAATTGTCTATCACCCTCATTTTCATTCCAGACTTATATAAACGAAGCGTGTTACTGAACTTTATAACACTCGTACACAGTGTACTCACAATGATGCTTCTACGGTCTACAGTAGAGAAGAAATACTGAGGAATAAGTATCACACTTCTACAGTATATAGCAAAAAGGTAATTTTGGGAAATAGGTATGGTACATCTACAGTCTACAATAAATGCAGAGGGATATAATGACACATCTCAAGCAATAACTAATGATGGGGGATATATTAACACATCTCAAACAATAATTAAAGCTGGGGAGTATAATGACACATCTCAAACAATAATTAAAGCTGGGGAGTATAATGACACATCTCAAACAATAATTAAAGCTGGGGAGTATAATGACACATCTCAAACAATAACTAATGATGAGGGATATATTAACACATCTCAAACAATAACTAATGATGAGGGATATATTAACACCTGTAGAACAATAACTAATGATGAGGGATATAATAACACATCTAGAACAATAACTAATTCTGAGGAATATAATGACACTTCTCAAACAATAACTAAAGCTGGGGAGTATAATGACACTTCTCAAACAATAACTAAAGCTGGGGAGTATAATGATACTTCTCAAACAATAACTAATGATGAGGAATATAGTGCTGTACATCAATTTGGAATTCACCGTCTCCAACAGTGCAGTACATCAATTTGGAATTCACCGTCTCCAATAGTGCAGTACATCAATTTGAAGTTCACCGTCTCCAACAGTGCAGTACATCAATTTGGAATTCACCCTCTCCAATAGTGCAGTACATCAAT